GCACAAGTTTCTGCCTTTTAGGAAGCTAGGATTTGTCTTTTGTTACTTTTTTATCCTCATCAATGACTTTTGTTGCTACATCTTCATCAGTTTCAATTTGTTCTTCGTCACTTTCTTTGCTACTATCAGATCACCATCACTCTCTGTGTTATCAACATCCACAACGTTTACAAAATCATCACTTTCATGATATCTTAATTTTCCATTATCGGACAAAATGTCGATCTCATTTCCTACATAAATAATTAAGCAACGTAGTTTCAGAAATAATCATAATGCTTCTGCTAGGAATGTGTACTCAATATGGTCTTAATGTCCTAAATGGACTAACACAAAAAAATTTCCAGTCTGCACATTTGAATTAATTTATTCTCCAGGTCCTAATTTACTTAAAATAAATATTTATGGCTGACTGTTTCTTTGTGGAGATGTTAAAGATATTACAATAGGTACTACATTGATAGAATAAATAGAAATATAGCAAATGATATACGTCTTCACATAAATAATTTTAGATATCCAATAATCTACCCTTCAAGTATGAATTTTCAGAGCGAATTCAGTGTTCCTTGTTTTCTAAACATTTTTTTGCAGTGTCTAGTAATGATATTCATTCTCCAACCAAATTATACCAAAGCTAAATTTAGGGATCCGGACCATTTTCATATGTATATGCAACATTGGAATTTCTGACCTAAAATCTGTAGTATCCTTGGCCCTGATAGTTTATAAGCCTTGTTCTTAAAAACTGGTGTTTGTACTATCACACAACTCTTGCATTTATTGTACTAATTATATTTAAAAGCTTCAGTATATCCAAGCTTCTGGATGAATACTTTTATAATTCGTAGGAACAAAAAGAGAATTTATTAAATTACCGTGGATTTCAACAAATCATTTCAAATGCTTTTGAGTGCAAATTATATAGTATACATATACACAATTTTTTTAAAAGCATTTTATAGAGTTAATCACAATCTAATAATAAGTAAACTAAAATATCTTGGACTAAATTGAATAATTGTATTAAAAGCTTCATATCGAGTAAAGTGCAGAGTATCAAATTAATAATTATATATAAAACGCACTTAACGATTCTTCTTGAGTACCGCAGGGTTCTCATTATCGACCAATTTTATTTTATTTATTTATTAACAACCTTCCTTCCTATTATGTGGTGTCCTTATCAATGCGATATCATATGTTAGAAAAGGTACAGAAGAAATTTCTTTGTCACTACGCTTTTAGGCTAGGATATAGGTGGAGCGAAACCTATATCACTATGTCTAACTTTAGTGTCACTGAAGGAACGTACAGGGTGGACAAATTTCAATGTTTTAATAGATAATCTCATTAACTATAAATGGTATCCAAAAATGGACCTCTCACGCTCGATCTCTTTTTTTAGAGAAAAACCTAGTGGCATTTTCGAAAATTGACTGTTGTCTTTTGTTTTAGAGTTATAAACACAAGTTGTTTTTTTTTTCTTCAAATTTTCATTATATGGCTTTATCTTGCTTATTTATGAAAGTGGAAGTAAATAATTTATACCTTCTTGAGGCACTTTTTTGATAAGAATCCAGTGGCGTAGTCAATTTTTTTAAAAATTCTTCAAATTCGAGTTATAGTATAAAGTTGGATTTTTTTATATGGAACGGTTAGTTGGCTGTGGTATAGAAAAAAAAAGACAAACATTTTTTCATTCTAACGATATATAGGTTTATTTATTTTCATTGTTATTTAGCAAAAACTCATTATTCTCAAAATAATCTATAAGAACTCTGTTGATTTCTAGTGGGCTTGTGTCATTCAGAATATTTCTGACAGAATTATCGGCATTTTTGCAATACTAATCATTTAATAACGGTTGATTGTTTATATCATCTTAAAAGTACAAAATGGCCTATGAAAATAATAAAAAGTTTGACACGTTAGAGTGTTTTATTCAAAGTAATAATAATTCTGAAGTTGCAAGTGAATTATATTTTAATCGTTACCCGGAAAGAAGACAACCTAATAATTCTATTTTCAAACGATTAGAAGAAAATCTTATAAATTATGGAACTTTTAAGAAACCAAGGATACAGAATTATGATACTGAAGATGTTGAGGAAGTTGCCACCAATATTATTGGAATGGTAACTGCAAATCCTTCGATATCAAGTCGTCAAATTGAAGCAGAGTCTGGGATATCACAAAAACGTGTTATGAAAAATACAAATTCAGACCCTATAAAATAAGGAAACAGCAACATCTCCAACCAACTGATCCCGAACGACGTCTACATTTTTGCAATTAGTATCTTGAAAACATAAACCAGAATCCATCCTTCTTTACAAAAATTATATGGACAGATGCATCTTACATAAGCAGTGCCGGAATTTTCAATCGACATAATGAATATTGGTGGTCCGACGTTAACCCCCATCGTAACTTTGATGTCGAAAATCAGGGACGTTTCGGTTTTAGTGTTTGGTGTGCCCAATTGGGCAATGGCATTTTAGGCTATCAAATTTGTGTTGGAAAACTAAATGGTTAACGATATTAAAAATTGTTAACTCTTCATTTTAGAGACAAATGGATAGAGACAAAAGGACCGGTAAGGTGCGGCCTCCACGTTAGCCAGATTTAACGCCCCTAGATTTCTTCTTTTGGGGATATATTAAAGACAATTTATACAAAAATACTTTTAATAATATTGATGAACTAATGCAAAATTTTATACTGCGTTAATTTACATCTCCAATATCCATATTTATAACGCAATTCGGAATGTTTTCAAACGATCATGTGTTATGTGTTATGAATAATGGACATCAATTTGAAAATTTAGTCTAGATAGTTTTATATTTTTTAATGATTTAATAATTGGTAGAACAGCATTGTCAATATTATAATTCTTCGTCCTTGATTTGTTAAAAGTTTCATAATGTATGATATTTTCTTTTGATGTTTGAAAATGGAATTAGTAGGTTATCTTCTTTCCGGGTAAAGATTAAAATATAATTGTTATTACTTTGAATAAAACGTTCTTACAAATTAAATTTTTTATTTATTTTCATAGACCATTCTGTGATGTCATAAACAATCAAACGTTGTTTAGTATTTTAATAACATGCAATAACAGATACTTTGTCCTATCAGAAATATTCTAAATTACACAAGCCTACTAGAAAACAATAGAGTATTATAGATTTTTTAAAATAATCAGATTTTGCTAAATAACAATGAAAATTAATAAACTGACCGGAAAATTTATGTATGCCACAGCCAACTACAGGTTACATATAAAAAGTACAACTTTATACTATAACTCGGGATTTGAAGAATTATTAAAAAAATTGACTGCGCTACTGGATTCATATCAAAAAAGTGCCTCATGAAGGTATAAATTATTTTCATCCACTTTCATAAATAAGTGCCAAATAATGAAAAATTTAAAAAACCAACTTTTGTTTATAACTCGAAAACAAAAGACAATAGCCAATTTTTGAAAATGCCATTAAGTTTTTCTGAAAAAAAGAGATCGAGGATGAGAGTTCCATTTTTCCATGCCATATATAGTTAACGAGATTTTCTATTAAAACACGGAAATTTGCCCACCCTGTACTTAAAATATAGATTTAACAGTGAAAAAAGAAGGGAAGTACTTCGAGTTAAAACAAACTAAAGGAGGAGTACCACAATGAATTATATCTTGTATCTACTATATCTTGTATCTACTGTATCTTGTATCTACGATATACCAGAAATGATCAATGTTAAAATCGCTATATTTGCCGCTGACACCGTACATTTAGCAATAAAATGCAATGAAATAAAAAAAAATACGAAGCTCTGTAGACTTCATACATATGTAGGTATATTAACATCGATATGCTTCACTTCCTCGACCAGCATGAGACAGGAAGAAGACTGAAAAGGATCAAACCTTCAGATCTTGTGGGAGTTAAAAGTAGCAGTTAAAGTTTGTTATATCTGTAGCAAAATTAAAAATTGAAATAATACACAAATAAAACCTTCTAATAATTGAAAATATAAGTAGTCTGGTACTGTGACAGATTACAGAATAAAAACGATCTTTTAACGTATTAAACTACGTTACATCAGATAGAAGCTATCCTATCTTTAACTGCGCGACAGATTTACGGATTCATAAGGCTTCCGCATTTAATTCAATTAATATTTGAATAAAACTGCGTTTCTGCTAACCTTCAAATCCTTTTCAAACTATATTGTGTGAAAATAAACAACTAGAAACGTAAAACGTATCTAAATCAGGTACTAATTTTAAATAATAAATTATCATTTAAGCCTTTTATAAAACAGAATATAATTATCATTATATTATTGCGAAATGTATTCTAGATACGCATCTAGAAACAAAAATGTTAGGTTAGGTTTCTAGGAGAGTTGGATAGGTGTTTGATTTGAGTTAATACTGTGAACGATTTTTTCTGGTCAAATAACTGGTCCGAAATTTATATGACATATAAGATAAAAATATTGAAACAAATGACTGAACTAGTCAAGAATGTTTATTCTTCTTGTAATTAACATTTATGTTAGAATTATTCCATATTAACCCCGAACAAAAGTATATTTATATTATATTTCAAATATTTCTGAGAGATTTTCATAGAAAATAATGTTCCAACCTCTATAAAATGCCTAAATGAATATTATTATTTTAAGTTGTTACTGAACGTACGATAGTTGACAAGTATTGTTTATTGTTCTGTGTAAAGCACAGATTAAAGATTGTATTGCTAATGGAATAAAACTCAAAATTTTCAAGTAACTCTTGATATATTTAACTAATCCTTGAATATTAGATTAAATTAATATCAACCAAGTTTAATACAAGTAATGTCGTGGTACCCAATCTTTTGTGATTATTCTACAATATTCAAAAATTCTCGAAATCCTTTCGCCTGCATGCATTAATTGCTATTTTGCATATAAATAATACAAAACTAATAACATTTTTTTGTTTTCAGTTTTCTTGTGTCCTTCTTAGTGGACGCGCGCGGTGGTGCGATGCGTGGTTGCCGACATTCGGGTGTGAGAGTGATAGTGCCGCCTAGGTGCGCTCCTAGCCCAACTAGGATAACGTGCAGATATGTGAGACCCCAGAGGACGCCTCATCCGCCTCCTCTAATGGAGGGCGAAGCGCTGGCTAGCAGAGTTTTGGAACTGGGGCCAGTCGGCGCTAAATTTTTAGGGTAAGTCATTAATTTCAGTTGGTATTGCTAAGGAATTAAATGAATAATAAAAAATATCATTAAATGCATAACATTTGTTAATGTAAAACATTAATACATCAACTTTGTTCAAAAATATTTTGAATTAAATACTAAGAAACTTGAAAAATAGTTCTACTTGTTATATAACCGGATACTCTTCCATATATGGCACAAAGCGTGTGTACTTTATTCATATTTAATGCGCATTACTAATTTAAATATAGACCAGAGATTGTCACTAACCTAACATACTCATTAGGTTTTATTTACATCTCAGGAAATACAAAAATACCAACTACTATGGTTGACAACTATATTTAGGTCAACTATTTATTTAAACTTTTCCTAATGGTAACTCAACACTTATTTATAGTATCATTTTTCTTTTAAATAATTTTTACAACCAGAAGGCAGTGATGTCACATGATAAAAAAACCCGCGGTGTTGTCCGGTAGATTTTTCCTTCTTCTAAAGATAACATTGTGACATTGTTCTTTCTTTTCTATACACGAAAAAAAATTCACCAACCGTTAGCAAACTTTTACTTACCGCAAATAAAAAGTTGAATACTATATGGGACAGGTAAAATGTTTACTTATGGTAAGTAAAACAAGATTTCTAAAATTAGTTACCTGTGGTTATTGAACAGTTTAATTAGTTTTTAGATGACCTGCAGTTAGTGAACTATTTACTTGTGGTTAGTGTACATTAGTTTCTTACTATAGGTACACTTTGCATTACTAATTGGATTTGGTTTATTTGCCGCTAGGTAACTGTTTTTTTGTGATAAGTGATTTTTGTTTTAGTGTTATATATGTATTTATGATCTTGAATTATTTATAGGCCTTAAAACATCATTTATCATGATCATTATTATGCAGAAAGTATTATATTTTATAAACTTTTATTGGTGCCCTAATAGGCTATAGGTACTAATGACATTTATAAAAATTTGAGTACTCAGGTGTATTAAAATATCAAATGTAAAAAAATATGAAAAGGGACTTAAAAAATTAAAAAATATTACAGTCAAAAATACACGATTGATGTATTAAAATAGTTAGTTTATGTTACAAGGACGAAAAGTTGAGCTTTTCTAGCGATTACGAGAAGCTTGAGAGGCAAGACGTAGTTGAGCCTGGCAACTCATGGAAGTCCGAAAAAAACAATTTTCGTCCGTGTTTCATACATTTTTTTTATTCGAATGTGCTTAGATATTAACAAATATATGGAAAATGAAATCTCAAATGATATTATTTCCAATAATTTTTCCTTAACTGAGTTGGCTATGAGAACAATTGAACAATTTTTGTCGTGTCACTGTGCTCATATCAAATTAATTTAATTATCCAGTTTATTAAAAATTGGTATCAAAAAAATTACAAAAATGAGTAGTGACGAAGAATTCATTACGGGCACGCATGGTATAGGAAAAAAACCTACCTCAGATTTGAGAATTCTAATTGGTATGCAACACTTTATACACCTAACTTTATATGCTATGGCCGATAAAGTACTGTATGTTGTATATACAAAAGTTCTACTTTTCGACTGTTTTCTATTCGAAAAATGACGCTTCTTGACTTATTCGAATAAAAAATATACAATAAGGTACTTAAGCCGTCTTTATCCTGCACAAACTCTGTTTCTGGGGTTAAAACTCACTCGTAAGAAAGTGAATAGGGATAGTATTATTATTGTACCTAAAATGGCACAGTTTTTAATACACTCATGAACAAATATTTAATACATTGCATTGATTTATATATACACTTATTACAAAAACCCCAAACCTACATAGCACTCAATGAAAAAAGTGTATGACCTCGACCTAAGCTGCCCTTTACGAAGGACAATATAAAAATAATAACAAGATTACGCAAATAAGAAATCAGATAATTCGACTATTAGTTCGTTGATGTTTCGGTGATGATCGGGATCTATTGTATTGAAGCAGTCGCTAACCGTAAGAGAATAGTTTTTGACCATAAGTAAAAGTTAACTAATGGTAAATATATGTGATTTTGTGGTAATTAAAGCAGTTTTAGAAACATTATTCATTTATCGTAGGTAAACTGGTGCCTAAGTATCGATAAAAAATAACTATTGACTGACAATTATAACTAGGTCAAATGTAAAATTAGTAACTTTAGCAATAACTACAAAACAATAACAGAACTGAAAATTAAGTTGTCATAAGTCACTAAAAATTGCCATTTCTTCTTTTACCAAATCACGTGGGATAAAAATGATTTTGAAGACTCTGTAGTAGACAACTTTACGCATGCCTTCTGGAAAAATATTTAATCATAGAACCTTTATGAATGAACTGAAATTGTGATTCATAGGTCCGACTATCGGAAAGTAAAAAGATAAGAGCTTAATTAGAATTCACTCAATAGTTAATCCTCAGTAAATAAATAAATTTTTCTATTTCTGAGTCATGTATTTATATTTAATAGCAATATTTTAATCGTATGTTAAATTATTCAAAATATTCGAAGAATGCAAAGATTTTAAAATAAGCGTTTGTTTACAAGAATGATTAACAATATTAGGTGAAGTAAATAGAAGCTATATATTTTGTTTGTTTTTACTTTTATTACGTATTAATTAAAAGATTTTAATACTAATGATAATTGTTATTATTTATTTTATGTCTGAGAATATATTACTTATAAATAAATTAATAATAAGACACAGTAAAACTGATAGTATTCAAAGTTTAGACGTTTAAAACATGGCAAGAAATAATATGAAAATATTAGTTACTAAATTATAATTGTTTTTAAACGTAAATAGCTTTGTAATTGTTTTACTCTATAGTTTTGTTGTGAAAAATGGCATTAACTAATATTTCGGATTTTTCCAATTCTATTTCTTGGTTTTCTTTATCTTATTATTTGTTCTTTCTGTTTCTTCTTTGTGGTCTTCTTGTTTATTTTTCTTCAACTTCATCTATTTTTTCATTATCGTATTCTGATCTTTCTCTGTCCTTTCATTTTATTTATTTAGATCCTGTATTAGCATTCTCTTCACTTAATTTCCCTCGATTCTCTATATCAATTTTACTTCAACCTTCCTCTTCTTCTTTTTATTTTTACTCATGTGCAATAAAATATACTTATACTTGTTATAAAATCATAATTATATTAAACTAACCAATGTTACGAAATATTGGTCTTTCAAAATAGTTAACCCGTAAATAAATGAGCAGCGACCTTTCGTAATGAAATTCAAATCACGTTCTGAGAAAGTATTGAAGTACCTATTTAGCTTTGTAATATAGTAATCCTACAATGTACTCGTATTTGTGTACGTGCTTAAGAATTTATTTATAATGAATTTTATTGCAAACCATTTATAGTCCACAAATAAATTATATAATTACTTCAAAACATACATTTTTGTTGTAACTGCGTAATATACCTGTGTTGTTAACTAATTATTGAAATGGTCCTACTTTAAAGATCAGGCAATTCTTAAATGACAAATGCAATTTGTAGGTAGACATAATATCTGATTGTTAGTGATATTAATTTTTTTTTATCCAATTAAGTAAAAAAAAATGATGGGGATTGTAGAAACTACGATTGAGTCAATATATAATTAAATGAAAAAAAAAATAAAAGAAAAATAGTACGTGCGTAGTTTTTCAATTTATTTCTTTTCTTTGCTATTTTTTTTTTATTTTTTAACATTTTTTTCTCCCAATGTCTTCCTCTGCTTTTTCGGGCTTGTCCTCTTTTTCTTTTAGTATCCTCAAAGCTAAGTTATTATTTTTCTTTTACTCTGCATTCTTTTAAGGCGTCCTAATGATAGCAGTCTTCTGCCCTTAACAAATTACTTTATAGACTTTGTTTTCGAGATTTTCACACCTTTTTGAGAATTACCAGTCTTGTTACATGTACTTTTATTGGATCGCTGTTTTTTGTAGAACTTTCTGGTTTTTTTTAGTAATTTCACAATTATTATTTAAGAGCTCATTGTAAAGTCCATGTTGTGTCATTTATAGAGAAGCTATGTAGCTTCTAAATCTAAATTAATAGATAAGGCAGGATGAAACCTATCTTCTGACACAAAGGGAATATTATCACGGCTCAAAGTACAATTTTTTGAACTGAATACCTTTGATCTACATGTGAGATGTTTTTAAACTGATTTCGATCGGTAAACTGAATGAAGTCGTTAACATTTCTATGTACAAACTGAGAAACATTTAAATCTGTTAAAATGTTCGAAAAACAATTCTAAATCGGCTCTAATCACATGTGGCGGTATATAAATTACGAAAACACTATGGCATATAAAGTTTGCAGCCAACAATGTCAGTGGTAATAAGTCGACGATGCCATCCAAATCCAAAAAAGTTAGTTTACGTTTAGTTTTTGTTGCTAGCAGAACGCCTCCAACTCTTGAAATATTAGTTCATCTGAAATCACAGTTCTCAAGAACAGCAATATGGTCATATTTAAGAAGAATCTCAATTTTCTGTATTTCAGTAAATATTCGAACTTAAAGATAATACGATAATAGTTCACAGCTGTGACTTTCCAAAATAATAACTTGATAGTAATAATTATCATGCACATTAATATTAATAGTCCAATTATTTAAAATACCTTTAATTAGGCATGTTTGCTCGACATCTTGTTTTTTAAATAAATATTGTTATTACTTACAGGCCAGTAATCATAGAAGTACCACATTTCGCTGCTTTGCGTGGCAAGGAACGTGAAATCGTTATTTTAAGATCCGACAACGGAGAATCATGGAAAGAACACTCCGTAGATGCCAGCGAGGATATACTCAATCAAGTGCTCCACGACAGTTTCGAAGCAGAAGGTAAATAAACACATTACTATAACTATAACAGTTTTCCTTAAAGTAGAAGCAATGTATCTATTTATAATATCAATTAAATACAACGTCCACAAAAATCTGCATAAGCCTGGATAGGTTTTGTCTCAATTCGTTTTAAATTTGTGATTTGTTGAAACACCGAAAAATACAATAGTTACAAGAGTTGCAAAAATTTTCTGCTTAGTTTGCATTTGGTATGGTCTCTGTCAAAGAGAGTAATCGACCAGCATAATGTGCGATAATTAACATTTTCTAAATATCAAATTTTAATAATTACATTAAAAATAAAATAACTGTATTTGCATTAGAATTATGATTAAGGATTAAGTTGAACCTTCACAATGTAATAGGGACATTTATACTAGATTTATGATTATCATTAAAGAGATATTGCAAATAGAGAGTTATTGCAAGTTCACTTAAAGTCAGTGACTATTAGTGCCTCTCTTATTTTGACATCTGAGCATGCGCAGATCACTTACATTCTAGACATTAATAAAGATTGTGCCTGTCCTTACTTGTGGATGTTTAAGGACAACAGTTAGTGGTGACTTATAGTTTTCGGGTACCCTCGCCAACATTCGTCCCAGCTAGCACAAAAATATCCCATCTACGTTAATAAGCTGCAATTTTAGGCTCTTTAAGCTCGCATGCAATGTACTGTAAATGTAACCCTATTATCCCTGCAACTACCGAATGTCCGCAACGGCAAGACTTTTATAGCACATCTCGTAGAAGTTATAAAGTGAAGTTCGGAAAACATCACACTAGCACTTTTACGGTACTTACCCCGAAAGTTGCTCTGAAACTTTCTATAGATGTTATAATGTGAATTCCTTCTACAGCATTATACAGTGTGTCCACGGATGGACTTAACTATACTTGTGAAAATATTTATTTTAAATTAAAAAAGTAATTCTTCATAATTTCTTTTACTTGTTAAATAAATTCGATTCACATCAAGAAATTATGAAAAATAACTTTAAAAGCCAATGGATATGTGATAGATGAATGGTGAGGATAGTTAATCAATTTGTTTGAACGTGTGAACACGATTATTTAAGTTAACCTAAAATATAAGTTTAAATATAAAACGACTGCAGAAAAGATAAATTACATCAATCACTGATGGAACAATTATTGAATAAAAGAACACACCTTATATCACAAACACACACAAGTACACATGTGGGATAGAAGAAGCTACCTATAAAGCACTAAACGATTGGACAAAATTAGATAAATAGTATAATAAGGTATCAATATTGCAAAGGTTTACTAAAACCTTAAACAGTGAACGATGATAAAGCTAGATTGGTAAATAATAATAATAAACAATTACAACAATGACTAGGTACATATTATTATATTAGATTACTAGAGGATAGCTAAGTTCCCTGATTTCTTACCTCTAGATGCAGAGATATATCATCTTTTTTAAGTCAAGCCTTTTAACTTTTTTTGTATAGATATTTATAAAATGCTATAATGTATCCTAAATATGACAATTTATAAGAAGAGCATTAATTATATTTTTATATAAAAAGACTTTACTTCTCAATACATTGAATAAAAAAGAAATTGACAACTTGTTTACCTATTATTAAAGGAAATTATATAGTAATTAAAAAATATGCCTTACTTTGTTTTAAATAAAACAAATGTTAGTGTATTGAAATTTGTTTGAATTTTACAAATTTTATGCTTGATTTCCAAAGTAGATATAATATGTAGATTTTATAAAAAACAACTCGTGTTTTTTAGCAAGATATTCTATTATACTCGAGAGCATCATCTATGATTTCTCTCAACTTTTCTTCTGGGTTTGCCCTTGAACTGTTGGTTACATTTCCAAGTACATCTAGCCTGTTGAAGAGAATAAACTGGTTGATATATTTGACACCATGTACCTATAGATCACTTTTTATAAAATTTCAGGTGTTTGTTATATATTCTTCTTTAGACAATTCTGTAGTATTTACTTTTGCTTCTAAAATTCCTAGAATTTCAAAGGAAACCTAAAATATAATATTTTTAAAATGTATTTTTAGTTCGATTAAGTATAATTACCTTTAATAAGTATTTGGTGTAAAATGTTACCGGACATTTGGTTAAGTGTTTATCTTCTGGTTTACAACGATTGATCTGCAATTCTTTGTTTTTATAGTAGTTAAACCATTTTGTATACTTAATGAATGAAATAATAAATTTACATCAGGCATTGTAATCTGAAACAAAGACAATGGTTTAAAAAATAGTTTTCTATTTTATAGAGGACCCTTACCAAATCTACTCGAATGTATAAATAAATCCTGGAAGTCAAATAATAAAAATGTCATTCACCGGGAATAAACCTTCAAAAAAGACAAGACAAATGACAAGAAAAACTGACAAGTGACAATTGACATAAACGTTCAGAAATCAGAATTGTAATGTTACTTTATTACTTTGTGTTAACATAACAGGTAGGTTAACTAGGTAAATAACAAATAGAAGTTTTGCGAGGTTTTGATTTCCCTCAACAACTTCTCATGAACGTTGCATTTACGTTGTATAGTAATGTTATTACGTTCCCTTAATGCAACATCGCCGAAAGGCTTGGCAACGTTATGTGCTAGCTGAGGTATCAGTTGGAAGTTTTTTAATATTAAATATCTAATATCATCGTCATCTAAACCTTCTAAAATGGTAATTTCTAATGCCTCTTCCATATTATGTACTATTATAAATAACAAAAGATGAACTGTGATTTAAAATGAGGTTATAAATATGTATAAGGACAAGGGATTTAACTTTAATAAAATTCGTAGTATCTTTAATTTACAGTAGTAAATGATTGTGATGTTTATACTTATGTTATTAAAGCTTTTACTAGAGACGGTTTAAATACCAATGAAAAACCTGTATTGGAATCTTTGGATCCAAGTCAATAACAACATCATCGCCAAGTCTAGGAATATTCAACAGTGCTTCAGGCCAAATCAATAGCCATACAATACTGTGCAAAAGAACTAATAAATTAGTATGAGTAAAATCATTAACATCTACTCTGATAGCCAAACAGCTCCAAAGGCAATTTTCTTCCCAGCAACCTAATCAGGACATGTTAAAGTATGCTTAGTTACAAGTTTTAACAGAACTAATCAGTTACTTGAGCCTGGATAATTGACTACAAAGGAAACTAGGGCAATGAAAAGGCCAATGCATTATCGAGCTAGGCTCAGATTAGGCTATAAGAGGCATCCATCATACAAGGAATGCAAAAATATCCTAAAGAATAATGGAACAACTATCCAGGAGGCAAAATAATTTATTAAGTAATCGTCACTCAACTCTACGAAAGATCTACTGAATCAGAAACGATAAATCATTAGGATAACATTAGATCTTTCTACTTGATACTGTCACCTAAGAAGACACATAATCGTTATTAATCTAGTACAAAAAGCAACATTACCTGAAGAATACAAGGATATATCAATCCACGTAGTATGCCAATGTATATGCATTGCTGGATAGACGTTTCCAATATTAGGCTAAGAAAAGCCAAAAGCACATGCAGGAGCCACTTTCAAAAGAATCTAATCAAATATAATCTATTTAAAACAGCTTTAAGTATTGTTCTAAACTAACAAGATATTAATAAAGACCGCAAAAAGATATTGCATGTATTCGGAACATTCTGACAAAAGTTTTTTATTGACGCGTAAATGATAATCCCATTTAGTCACATGATACATTGTAATTACTGAGAAACCAAATATGCAGTCCTTTAATCGTTTCTTTATTTGTTGCAGACCTAAATCAACTAGAAGACGTGTCTTCAGGACGAATTACCAGGATAGTAACACAAGATTTCCCTCAATACTTCGCCGTAGTGTCGAGGATACGACAAGAAGTACACGCCATCGGTCCAGAAGGAGGAATGGTGTCTAGTACGGTGGTACCTCAAGTGCAGGCAGTCTTCCCGGAGGGAGCCCTCACCAAAAAGATCAAAGTCGGCCTTCAGGTAAATTTATTTAAACCCCGCAAGGGCGTCCCATTGGATAGGTTGAGGAAAATAACCGTGAATCATATACCGAAAAACAAACGCTGGTCTTTAGTTTGGTAGAATTTTTATTTATTTAACAGTTAAAAATTAAAAAAGGATTTGGTTTGGTAAATGTTTTATGAAGAATAATATTGATCATTTTAAAAATAACATTTATTAATAAGTGACTGTCCCATTTTTTGTATAATAGCGACTGCCTTAAAATTCAGAAGTGGGATTAAATAATAATTTTGATATGTAAATATGAACAGTAACGAAATTTTAGAGAAACATAAATCTGATAATGATTTTATACTTTATTTCAGCACTGTATACAGGGTGTTGCATCGTTGAGCGGGACATAGGAAATCCCATGTAATTTTAAATGGAGTCAATTATTGGCTTCCCTAATTATTTTAGAGAAAAATTCTATTCGGATTTACTTATCGCCGATTTCTTCTTTAATATTTCTACTTTTTTCATGGCACTATATTATTTACGAGTACCAGTCAAGGTAAAAAATGACGGCCAAATGGAGTTTTTATTCGGAAATATGTGCTATATTATTATTAAAAACACGTACATCGAAAAAAGGTGTATTCATAAATACAGGGCCATAAAAAAGAGAAATATTTAAAAAAAAATCAGCGATAACTGGTAAACGGGCTATCTAAAGTTATTCTGAGTTTCAGTGCTCTTTAATAAACATAAATAGAATGTTTCTTTAAAATAATTAGGGAAGCCAATAATTGACCCTATTTAAAATTACATAAGATTTTCTATGTCCCGCTCGACGATGCAACGACCCGGTATATATGATCATAATTATTCCATAAATAACATTACGAAACGCCAAATATTTTCTATATTTTTCTTTTAAAGCCAAATTGTAAATAGAACTTGTTAGTATTTTTTGAAAAAGAAACAAATTATTGAGAAAAACTTTTTATCTGACAATGAGTACAACGTATTTTTTTAAATAATCTAGTCTCTTCGTTCTAGTCATTTTTTATATACATTTTAGCTCACATCGTTGATTACGTAATTAAGCCTTATTCGGTAACCCAGAAACAATTACTTAAATTATTAAAAAATAAAACAATTAAAAGAATTAATACATTCATAATAATTACAAAAGATAGTGCAGGCTCAAATAACGTTAGGTATTTATTAATGAAGAACACAACGAAAATAATAAGGTTACAGCCAACTAATTCCTATAAAAAGGTATAGGTTTTGTTGATTTTGAATGGGACAACAGTATCTGATTGCATTGTAACTCACCAAATCTAATAAAGAACATGGTGGAGTTTGGTGAGATTTACTTAAAGTGGTACGACTTCAATTGGATGCATACGATAAATCCAGTTTCTTCCAGAGCTCACCAGATCACAATTTCCTCTGATTATTCGTCTTCTTCGCTGTAGATTCAATAGCCATATGTTTGTTCGTCTGTTGCAAATTTATCTAAATTTAAGAGGATATTGTCCTGTGGTCAAATTTATTTTAGAATCTGATATTAGGCCTTTGTATAAACCTCTTCAAATGAGTTGACATATATGTCCAGTCCATGAGAGTTTTTATCCTCTATTGAGTTAGACATAATTTCTTTCACCTCTTTATAATGCCAAATAACTTTGTTCCGATCATCCACCATCATTTAATCAACATAGTAAAAGCTCAGGGAATTAAGAGTTGCCTTTAAATTAGTTTTTAAATGCTCTTGATGCTGTTCTAAATTAGCTTTTAAATGCTCTTGTTTAAAAGATCTACTCTAATTTTAAGCTGACCAACCTCTTGCTTGAGGGTATCCTGGATTTGTAGCAATGCATTCATAATGTCTATCTCAGCTTTTTAACACCTCTCTTCCATCTATTTTTCTTCGTCTTTTCTGTGCTTTTCTTTTTTCTTCTCTTTTTCCTTTCTGCGTCTTTTCTTTTCCTCCTCTTCTTCCTTCCTTCCTACGCCTTTTCTTTTCCTCCTCTTCTTCCTTCCTACGCCTTTTCTTTTCCTCCTCTTCTTCCTTCTTATGCCTTTCCTTTTCCTCCTCTTCTTCCTTCCTATGCCTCTCTTTTTTCTCCTCTTCTTCCTTCCTACGCCTTTCCTTTTCCTCCCCTTCTTTCTTATTATGCCTTTCCTTTTCCTCCTCTTCTTCCTTCCTACGCCTTTCCTTTTCCTTCTCTTCCTTTCTATGCCTTTTCTTTTTCTCCCCTTCTTCCTTCCTACGCCTTTCCTTTTCCTCTTCCATTTTCAAAAACCATGCTGGTGGGCCTAAAGTATCCATATCTGTTTCGTGCACGGTAGGTCTAGTATTTACCATGAATAAAATCTTTACAGGCTTCGTGGGTAACTTTTATTTTATATCCCACCGCTGTCACCAATGTTACACTGGTTTTTGGTATCTCAAATTAATTTTAACTCAACTTTTACAATAACTATACAACTGATAACATTAACATGTAACGTCTATCATAAAAACTGGCTACTGACGTCAGGATCATTGATTTTTATAGCTTGCTTGACCCTTCTCGAACTGTCTAGATTTTCCTTGACAAGTAATGACATTTCCAGATATTTCTGGACTATTCTATCTTCTTTTACTCGTACTTTTACTTATGACGACCGCAGCACGCTGCAGGGTGCTGCGTAACAGTATCTAATAGCTCTTTCTTTAATTAAGAGCTTTATTGGCGGAGTACGACTTCTACTTCCTTTGTTGATATGATTTTAAAGGCGCTGTAGATTCCTATTGACTTCTTTCTGTGCGTCTTATTCAGTTTTTATAGCAGCTTCTTATTATTTATTACTGTATGCCACGACGGGGACAGTAACTGTGACTTGGCGGAATACATGGCTTTCTCACGTTCAGTGTAATAGGCCATCGTGAAAATATAGGGAATCCCACTTAGTCCAGTACCCTTTAATAGCTCCACTGTATTTGGCTACCTCTTGCTAAGTAGGTGTAACTTTATTTTTGAGTCATTCTCGGACAACCTTTAAGTCATTGTCTTCCTTCTGCCCCCTTTTCAGGCTTTTAAGGTTGATTTTTTCTTCGTCGCCCTCTGGTTTAATAGTCATTGCCCGAAGAGTAACTTTATCAATCGATTCCTCTCATTCTCCGAGCCCATTACGGTACCGGCATTCTCGTTCTAAAGAGGGTCACCTGGAGAGAATATCTACATTGCTATGGAGATGGTCTCTACGATGCTCTACTTCTTGATTATTGCTAGAAAGCCAGCTCGGTGTGGGTGATTGGCTTCTTTGGGACGCATAGCTGCTGTGACTATTTCTTGTTGAACTACGTGACGGGCTTCGGAAGATTGATCTTTGTGACTTTCCGGCCCTATTTCCTGATTCTAGATTTATAGAACGAGCCCTGCTTCCACAGGTACTTTGAAGGTGCCCGATTCATCTACAATTAAAACATCTCCTGCTTTCATTTTGACTGTTTCGTTGCATACATATTTTGCTGGATACTTAAGATTTGCGAAAGGGTAGGTTGGGGAATAGCATTATTATTGGCCTCCTCACTTTCCTGGAATTTAATTTTAATTTCTCCCTCAGCGTCTTGTGATGTTGTAGACAAAGGACTTTCCACATCTTGTAGTCCATCAAAGAATGCCTGTGATTCGATTTGTTCTTGGAAATCTTTCTGCGCCTGTGGATAGGTCAGATGAATTAACCTTCTTATGTCGGCCTCGAATTCCTGTAGACTGTCATTATGTTTCTGACTACGAACCTTTAGCTGGCTTTGAAATACCTGTTGCAAATGCTGCTGGACATATCTTGTCTCCAAAGCTTGAACGACAGATGAATAACTTGGTACTTCTTGGGGAAATAACTATAAAACGGTTGATACCTGTCCTCGTAGCGACATTATCAATGAAGCCACCATATCTTTCTCTGTCCAGCGATTGGCTCTAGCTGCAGTTTCAAATTGAAGTCGATAAGTTTCCTATGTTGTCTGACCGTCAAACGTGGGTAGCTTAATGGTCTTGCTAGTATGGCTTTGGGAAACTGCGTTTTGGATATGGCTTGGTTCGGATATAGCTGAGGACGAAGTAGTGCTTGCAGTTTCTCTGTTGCTTGCCAAAGCTAGGCTACGAATTCATTTTTCTTATTCAACTAGTTCAGTTCTAATTTGCCTTTCTAACTCTATTCTAGCCATTTCTTGTTGTGTTAAATTAGTTTTTAAATTCTCTTGTTGTTTAGCTAAGAGATCTATTCGACTCTTCAGTTGACCTACCTTTTACATAAGGTTTTCTAGAATTTGCAGCAAGCCATTTATAATCTCCACCTCCGCTTTTCTATGCCTGTCCTCCTCCCCTCTTCTCGCCTTTCCTTTTTCTTCTCTTCTTCCTTCCTTCCTACGCCTTTTATTTTCCTCCTCCTCTTCCTTTCTACGCCTTTCCTTTTCCTCCTCTACTTCCTTCCTATGCCTTTCCTTTCCCTCCTCTTCCTCCTTACGGCGCCTTTCCTTTTTTCTTCTTCCTACTCCTTTTCTTTTCCTCCTCCATCTTTAAAAACCATGCTGGTAGGCATGAACTATCCATATCTTTGTACTCAGTGGATCTAGTATTTACCATGAACTTTTATCTTGTATCCCACCGCTGCCACCAACATCCATCGTAAAACTGAAACTGACGTCACGATCATTAACTTATATAGCTTGATTGACTCTTCTCGAACCTTTTTGAATTTTCGTCTAGACTTTTCTTGACAAGTAATGGCATTTCCAGACATTTCTGGACTATTCTGACTTCTTTTTCTCGTACTTTTACTCATGACGACCGCAGCACACTGTAGGGCGATGAGTAAAATTGCACTTCTTTTTGTATTCGTACGTTTCCTATAACAGCCGCAGACTACTGCAGGGTGCTGCGTAACAATATAAATCTTTCATTAGCCATATTATAAAGTTATATCGAAACAAATAGAAGAGCCAGCTACGATTCTTATCTACACCGACGGTTCTAAAA